GGTAATATACTTATCTTCTACCAGACAGTTACAAAAACTTGTCATATTTTTTTTCTAACGGCATTCGAAGTAAAGGGATATTTACCAACTCGACATATGAGACGTATTGTATGGGAAAATTGTTGACTTCTTTTAAAATGTGGCATCATTTAAAGTTATTATTAAGAAAGTTACAGCCGCAATAAAAGTGCTCTAATATGGCTTTTCCCCGTATAATCATTAATAATTAAACATTTCTTAGAAGTCGTTCTAGAAAAGAAGATAAGTGTTTAACAAAACATAATCCCACTTGCGATAAAGGTATCACTAACTTTGAAATAAATCATTTTTTACTATTAATTTATTATTAGACTTGTAAAATATTCGGTTACTATTCGGTATTCGGCCTATTCGGCTGCTTTTATTATATTCGGCCGAATACCGAATACTTAAATAATATATTTTGTCATAGAGAAATAATTGGTAAAATGAAAATGGATTGATTACGTATATAGTCATATTTTCATTTCTGTTAAATATAATCATTTAAGTAGTCAATGGTACATAACACAGTACATAATCATCTTCTGAATTGGAAAAATGGAGGATTCTATGTATTTGAATTATTGTGGTAATCAAAATTTAGAAGGGTAAGGTTCTCATTTCTTTTATAATCATTTATTAAGTGGTCATTGGTACATAAAACACCTGTTTAATGTACCAATGACCACAATGCCGAAACATGCAGTGCGTTAGCAACATACCGCGCAGAACAATAGCGGGCGCGCGGGCGATGAGTACATTAGAAAAAAACAAAGGAGCGCGAAACAATCACGTCTGTACAAGTTTTTGGCGCTAAAATCCAGCCGAACACTTTTGCCTAATATTCGGCTATTCGTTCAGGGGCCTCGCCGAATATTCGGTATACTGCCGAATATACTATTCGTTGCAAGTCTAATTATTATCAATACCGTGTTTAAAATAAGAAATTGGTTATACAAAAAAGGAGTATACATTTTTAAATAGTTATTGATTTGCAAAAAAATAACAGGAACTCTAATATTTATTTGCTGTGCTATCAAAATTTGCTGCGTTTATTAAAGTTTCAACGTTTGTAAAATTTTGCAGAAGTATTTTAAACAGCTAATGTCAGGTTTCTTGGAACGCTGTACCCAATTATACTGAAAGGTAAAAATAATGAAGTCATTACGAAATATTATATTAATTGATATGAATTAATTGTGCGAAAATGTTTTATGTCAAATGTAACTGGTTGATATTTGTATTGGTCAAATTATTATCAGCGGCAAATAATGCTTGTAGAGATATTGATAAAAGAGTTTAATCCCTTTTATATGAATCTTTAACTTAAATAAAACTTTCAAAATCAAAAATCTAGATGAGTAATATGAAGTCGGTACAAATAAAATTTAAATCAACGAAAATCCCGAAAAGCCAAGTATTGAATCGCGAAGCACTATAAAAATAGTACCTATTTTCTTTTAATCTTGGTCGCAGCGCTATCACAGACCGCAGACTAATGCTAGCCATACACACTACGAGAAATCGTTACGATCAGACTGTACAGTTCGAACGGAACAGTTTATCGGACGTGGCGTACGTATAGAAAACTGTGCAGTTTTATAACATACACGCTACGATTTATCGGTACCGTTCGGACGGTACAGTCTAATCGTAACGATTTCTCGTAGTGTGTATGGCTACCATAAAGGTTAACGTAGAATAAAAAATAAAACTTATTTAATTAATCTTTTCTTTTTTACTTCTTTTGCCATTTTGTGATCAAAGGCGATAATCTGATACATAAATAATAGATTTGTTTCTTAGGTTTTCACGCGCATCACTCATTAAATAAAACGATTTTATGGGTTATATGCACTGAATTTATTTATCTGACGTTTCGCAGCCTTTTCAGGACTGCTTCTTCAGAAATAATTATTAATTAGAATAAACAATTATTTCAGATAAAAAAGAGTACCACAATTTCAAACAAAAATAATCATTGTAGGTCCTATATATATATAAAAAAATACATATATATATATATATATATATATATTTAAATTCTCGTTGAAGTATGGTTTATTCGCCCAACATCTTATTCCTTTAGGCATCCTTCAACAACCCTTTGTAACCAGATGAGGAAATTAAAAATACGGTTAGGTGGGTACAAAAACTAGGATTTACAAACAAAAAAACCGTTTTTCCCGTTTTATGGGCCACTTGCGACTTACACCACCGAACTCCAACAATATTAGACAGTACAGTAGTACAGAAAATTATGGTAAGTTGTTTAACCATTGTAAAGTATTGAGTGTATATGATAAAGTCAAATTTTGTGTTTTAACAGAATATAACAGTGCACATAATCTACAGACTATGCATCGTCCAGAATACTTGCGTAACCTTAATTATAAAAAGTATCTCCTACCGGAAACCAACAATGTATAATTGTGTATAATTGCGGTACGAGAACACTAAAATATGTTATTCCTAAATTTCTAAATGAAATGCCCCCCAGTATTCAAGAATTGTATATGAATGATAATTGTAAACATAAACTTAAAAAATATTTGTTAGAGCGAATCGTTGTAGACAGATAAACCCATGTTTAAGGGTTTTTAGATACAGCCATTGTATATCAAAATGTAATTGATTTGATTGAATAAATAAATAAAATAATCTACAAATAGACAATATTTAAACACGATAATATTAAGATTACAAAATTATTATAGGTAATTTAAATCTTTCAAGTGTGGGTGCTCATAACATGATAGCATGGTAAGCTAATTTATTCAGTGCCATTGCAAAAATGTTGCGTTGATTTGAAATTAATGCGTTTTTAGGATTCCGTAGTCCTGACAAGGAACCCGTATAGTTTCGTCATGTCCCTCTGTTTTTGAGTTTAAGATGCAGTTTGACTTTAAGTTAGGTATTTTAATTGAGATACACAAGGGTGACCAAAAATTTACTATCTCGAGTTCCTCCGTGCTTCGGAAGGCACGTAAAGCCGTTGGTCCCGGCTGCATCTGCAGTCGTTAGCACCCGCCAATCCGCACTGGGCCCGCGTGGTGGGGACATTAATAGGCTGATGATGATGATGATGAGTTGAGATACATAGATTTATATTAATTGGTTTTTCTAATTTCCGATATAGTAAATAATGACTCCTGCTCAAATATATTGTGGTAACTAAAGGCACTGCGCGTGGCACGACACGCACTTGGCTGGTTTTTCATATATTCGCACGCAACTGACCAGCCACCACCCACTTTAAATTAGAGACATTGATCTAATGTGCTTGTGTATGAGCTCATGATATTCATAATGAGATATTAAACTGCGAGGTCCTTGTTCGTTTTTACTGTAACTATAAACTTAGTCGGAATGGTAAGTAGTTTAAGTCAAATATCAAAAAGGTGTAATTTAAAAAACATTACATAAAACTTCCGGACTCGGGTTTTTAACGAAACGGGTGCCACGATTATCTTTTGTTTTTTTTTCATGGATCATTCTTCAGTTATATAAGTAGTAGATTGTTTCATCATCATCATCAGCCTATTAATGTCCCCACTGCTGGGGCACAGGCCTTCTCTATGGATGGAATAGAGAGTTTGTGCCGTGACCCACCACGCGGTCCCAGTGCGGATTGACGGGTGCTAACGACTGCAGATGCAGCCGGGACCAACGGCTTAACGTGCCTTCCGAAGGACGGAGGAGCTCGAGATAGTACATTTTTTTGGTCACCCATCCAATGACCGACCACAGCGAAAGTTGCTTAACTTCAACGATCGCAGCCGAACGCGTTAACCACTTGCGCCATTGAGCTCCTCAATTATCTTTTGTTTTTTTTTCATGGATCATTCTTTAGTTATATAAGTAGTATATTGTTTACTAAGGGAGCATATAACTATTTTTAAGCTAAGAGCGGCGTACTTTGAATCCCTCACTGCAATCTGGATTCAAAAAAAGGCCCTTTAAAACAGTGTTGCTGAAGCTCTACTTTTTTCACTCTCTATGAAAAAGTAAGTAAATGCAACTGCTCAGGGATCCCGTGTATAGTACCCCAAGTCCTTATACACTCTATGTTCAGGACATTCACATAGTGGTGGTGGGTCGTGGCCCAATCTCCCTATTCCATCCATAGGGAGGGCCTGTGCCCCAAAAGTGGGGAGATTAATAGGCTGATGATGATTATTAAGTTTACAACTTGTAAACATTAGGATAGTTCCATTAACAAATACAAGTTCCAAATACTCAAACCTTGAAATAAATAGTAATCATACAGATAATATCCACTAAAAGATTCTAATAAAAAAAAAAAGATTGTTCATACAGACATTCTTCAAACGAATTTAACTTTAAACTTTGAAAAGTTTTCTTCTTCTTTCAAATGTTGTCCACATTGATTACACATACTAAAAGGATTATCAATATCAAATGTATTCAACGAATTTATATTATTCATCCTAAAGGTAAAAGATTACCATTACATAAACTTTATAGTGGCGAAAAGATCAATTAGTCAGAATCCAATTAAAAACATTTCAAATTGACATGCGGCAGATTGGCGCGTTGTTACGACCCATCCAACCTTTGAATCGGTTTATGATTTTGAACGAAATATTATTAATGTACCCTGCTCAACTGTCAACTTTAATCATTCACGGATTTCGGTTCAGATTGTGATCTCTGAAATCACTTTGAGGTGTGCCTTTAGAATTCATTAGATAAATATTGAGGCTCGCAATTAAAGATCATTTTCTACTTGAATGCGTAAAGTTAAGCTAAAAACGCGGCTGGTTTTCGGGTAAAAATATTTTTGTTTTCCCAGTTTCATATTAAATGTGTATGATAAAATTACTTGAGTAAATGCTATTAAAAACTGATTTTCAGAGCTTTTATTCTTAAGAAAATTTGTTCAATATTACAGTTAATTGTTAAATCAAGAAAAAATGTACTAGTTTATACAGAAAATAGACAAAAAAAACACTTACCGGTGTGAATATTTCTTATGCTATCCTGGACATCTTTCTCTATATCGTTAGTTAGAATTTCCACTCTCGGTATCGTCACATGCTTCGCGCTGCACCACGCCACCAAAATTTGAAAAAGCATTAGTTTAAACATCGCGTGTCTAACGTCCATCTTCCTGAACACCAAACAATCACTGACACCCATCGTTAAAGTCCTCGTAGGGTATCCTGCCCTTTGGTTAAAGTCACTTTGACCTAAACATACCACCTTCGCACTTTCAACTTCTTAGATTATCACTATTCTCTAGATAATAGAGATTACGAGCGAGCTTCTATCACAGATTACACTTATGTTTGTAGTTAGACGATAGAATGATTTGTCTCCCGCTTTGGTGAAGTTGCATGATAATCGATCTGTAACAAAATAAAAAAAAAACGTTTAAACCAATCTCAACGTAAGTTAAACATACAGAAAAAAAAAATTGACAAGTGTCACATCAAATGCCGTAATCCGCGCAGATAGCTAGACGTCTCTACCTGAGTGTGGGGCGTATTATAAATTCCTGTTCCGGTCAAAAGCTTCAAAGGCAAGGTCGCGTTCGCGCAACATTTTCACATTTGAATAGCCGCGTCTCATTAAATCAACATCTTTAAAATTTAGATTCGCACCGCTATCGAAAGCAATTAAGTACAGGTTTCCTCGAATCGCAGAGAAAATGACACGTCTACTGACATCAATGACATAATCAAATTATAACTTCAATGAAAATATATATCGTGTCTCTCTCACTACGGGATATTGGCAAAATTTCTATGTAAAACGGAAACAGCCACAGAACAAAAAAAAAACACAGCACTTCACCTTGAGTTTGCAGACGATTAAGTAATCCTCACCTATTTTGTTTTAATAAAATATTACGTTTTAGTTAAGTATTTCTATTTACGGAGACAGCTATATTTTTTTAATAAACTATAATTATTATATACTGAACCAGTGAATGAATTACAATAGTGCCTAGTTGCGATTTTATCAGTACTCGGGATCAACGCACAACCAGCTGAGTCAGGCGGTTATCAGTATCTGAAGGCGGCCGGAGACTTACATAATTGTTAACAATTAGTATCTCGAGAGAGTAGGTACATATACTCAAATTATCTCACTCTACGTAAAATCTTACGATATGATTCTCCACTGACAGTGAGATTAAACGTTTAGTATAAGTTTTAATCTTTCTGTTTTTCTGTGCGTGAGTGCGTACTGCTCGTTTATTGTAAAACAAAAGATGTTCTCTTATATTTAAACTTTCTAACACAAAAGCTTTTAATTTAAAAAAAATGGTTGCCTGTAAAGTCGGTTTTACGGGCGAAGATTTTACGTGACAACGTCTTTTTCTCGGTAGAATATTTATTGATATGAATATAATTAAATTGCACAATAGGAACAAGGAATTGAATGAAAATAAGAATTGCACAAATTTTAACTATAGAAATATATTTTGTTTACTAAAACATTGTACATGTAAACTTAAACTTAACACGAGAGACTCATCGTAACGTTACCGAGCGTTACACTTTTTCATAAGTGACTCCCAGCCGCAACCTAATTTAAGACGTTGTCACGTCAATAAATTGTAGTGTTTATCTTACTAGTAGAATTGAAGGATTATAATATATATAGCAGGGATATAACGGAGGTAAAATTATCGGAACCGAAGTCGGAGTCGGAGTTTTCAAATTTGATTTAGCGGAGTCGCAACCAAAGTCGAAGGCTGAGTCCGGGTCAGAGGCAGAGTCAAAAGTGGTCACAAGAGAGATATTTTTGCATTTAAGAAATAATAAAAACATAATTCAGTCAACTTTTTTTTCATTTTAATAAATAAAATAACCTTTTTTCATATAAATTTACTTATTGTTAACACAGACTCCCAACGCGACGGGTATGAACCAGTTCGTAACGGTCGACGCAGGCCGCCGTCGCTAATTGCTATGCTTCGACCTCCGATTAAAACCTCCGATTTAAAAGTTTCGGAATCGAAATCGGAACCGAAGCTGTAATAATAATCGGAAGTTCCGACTTAACGGAATCGGAGTCGAAGCTCCTTAACATCCCTGATTTATTACTACAGTAACTTAGAATAAATATGGTTTAACTATGCTTTTAGAAACGTTTTCATTATTAGCCAGTAATTTTTAATGTAGCCACATCGCTTATCATCAATTGAAACTTTATATTACCATTATTTTGTCAAAATTCCTTATGTTTTCGGCTGGAAACATTAATGTTTACTCGAATAATACGTATTTCCACTACAGAATAATTAATTAATACTGTATCTATAATTGAATCGATTACAGCATACGAAAGAGTAGGTATAATTTATTCGACATATTGAACAATACGAATGAACGTTTTATGAATATGTTAATAAGTTGACTTTGACATTGGCGTTAGGTGTATAATGGGTAACTCATACAAACAGGTGTTCCTACTAACGAGATAATACGATGTTGGATGTCGTGACGTAACATTAGCCATTTCGACGATGACTCTCAGTGACTGACATCGAAATCTGAATTAATAGGAAGAGGGTTACATCCGCACTTCCTTTAAAAGGCTTCGGTTTTCTTTAGCTCGCCGCCGAACAAGAATGATTGACAGGCACCGAGCATATTTATGGTTTATTGCCGTATATCATCGTACTCGTTGAGAAATGCACATATTTATATGGTACGCAAGGAATCCTGTTCGGTCGGTTATAGGCTTGTTGAAAATATATCGATGTATCGATATTTTTTGTTCGATATATCGATATTTTTGCCGATATATATTGATTCGATATATCGATACATCGATAAAAAATAACCTATATCGAAATTCGTATCAAAAACGATATTTTTTTAATTATTAGCGGCATATCACGATCTAACTAAATTCGTACCTGGAAAAATCGTAACTGGATCTCAGATTAATGATATTCAACATATCTATGATCTGTGCTGTATTTAGTATTGTCTATGTCATCATTGGAAAATAGGGTCTATTTTTAGGGAGATAATTTTCGTTCCATTATTATTCCGCATGTCATATTTCGTGAGCTACTGTACGATATTTTTGGGAAAATTGGTCCGATATATCGATGTTTTTTTCGCGATATATCGAAGCCGATATTGATACTTTTTAAAATATCGATGTATCGATATATCGATATTTTTTTCAACTTTCGACATCCCTAGTCGGTTAGCGAAAACTCGCGAGCCATTGTTTACAAAGTCGTCGTCGTGCGTGAGCGGGATCTTTTTTTAAGCAGTGCTAAGTACAATAAAAAGTGAAGTGAGCGCACCCTTTTTCTGTCGGAATGTGTTCTAGGAAGAATAATGAAAGGGCTAAGGTGCCACGTGCCGATAAGACCGGCGCCGGGGCCTGAGCTACTCCATTAAAAAGCTTTTGTTTTTGTATACTCCCCGCGGAGCCCGGGACGCGTTAGGCGCCACGGCAGATTGTCTCTGTTTACGGAGCCGGTTTATGAGCCCTTTCTAGTGATTAACTTTACGAGTCAAAACAAAGGATTGCTTCTCTTTATCATCTGTTGTTAGAACAAAATTCCTGGTTATTTTCTCCGTACGCCCTTTTGTTTACGTTGTTTCGCAAAGGGTTTTAATACTTTATACTTTAGATTGTTACATTCTTGAGAGAAATAAATAGGTACTTACTTCGATGCTAATATTGGCTGGTGTCTAGGAAAATTCTACGGACCACCCAGTCACTTTGGGTCAGAATATAATACTATTGAATTTTGCCAAAAAACTTATTACACTTGTACTGCAAGCAATGTGTATGGATTTGTTTGGATTAAAGTAAAGCGGTGAATGAAATTTTAGTTAAAAAAACGATTATAGAAACAGTTTCTGTTAATGACAATAACGTACAGAGCCCAGTCACTGAGTATAATGAAGATATAATATGCCACATGTATTGTAAGTAGGTAGGTATAATAGGATCACGTGCAGGTATGAATTAATAATTTAAAACCGACCAAGTGCGTGTCGTACCACGCGCAGTGTAGGGTTCCGTAGTTGCCTGTAGTAACTACAATATATTTGAGCAGGAGAAAGAATTAGAAAAACCAGTTAATATCAATCTATGTATCTTAAGTAAAATACCTAAATAATGTCAAACTGCGTCTCAAACTCAAAATCAATTCGATATTATTATTTCTTTTAAATACGTATAATTTTTTGGTTCCTCCCTGGCCGGAGGAGTGGGTGTGAAATCCTCATGGATACCCTACAGCCGGCTGGATTGTTAACGGTACCGAAATCAAGTTGTACTTTATTTATTTTTGAAGTTATACTTCTTTAGGCGCGTTATGAAAAAATGATGAGAGTGAAATTTTAAGATGCGCGCGCTTCATGCGTTACTTTTGTGTTTACCGCACATTAAGAAAATCTACCAACAAAATAGAAATAGAATCTCTATTTAGTGGGTGCTAACGACTGCATTGTGAAGGCCTATCAAAAGTATTTATTAATCTGGAACAACGGAACCAAAGCGCGATTCAGGAGACTACAGCGCCATCTCTTGACCATTGGTGTAGTAGAACCAAAAACCACATCTTTATTTTTTGTAATAAAGTAACAGTTATAGGTATTCATATTTATAATATTAATCCACATGTTTCTAGTTTGTATATTCGGAATACGTGTTTGAGTTTCATACAAGTGCAAATCACATATGTTCTAATAAATTATATTCAGTAGCGATTTTAATTGAATATTTTGATTATTTATTTATTTTTTCAAATTAAAACTGAACTTTATTGACTGTGTCCTTTTCCAGACTTTTTATTAATTTATTGTAATTAATTAAGTGCATGCAATTAAAAACTAATTTTAAACGATGCCAAAGAAGGATAACTTCTCACGCGCCTACATAAGTACACGCACCCATTTTTTTATTCTAGTATAGAATATTAGTCTTAATCTAAGTTTTATTAAAACAACCAAGTTCATCCCGTACAGTTACAGTATAGACAGAGCAACACAGGCGTGATTCGTTTCGATTTCTTTGCTACGATTTTTTATCTGAACTTTTGGCAGATTAGAGAAGCTTTAATCTTTACAACTGGCCGATTTTTGCTCGTCACGTTTTTATCAGGTTATCAGTGCAGATCTCTGTGTGTGCACAGTCTAATCTCAGCCAGCTTGACCCCAAACGAGCACGAACTAATAATGACGTATCGTATGACCCAGCCTCTGTCTCTTTATCTAAGCACCTTCTTTAAACATCAGATAATAAAGATTTACAGTATTCTGCCCATTCAGGGCGTTACTATGGAAAGATACTGGCTAATAATACATCTATCCACTTATTAAACGAAGAATAAGCATGAATTGGTTACTCCATGTATTGTCTT